GGGGGGGGCTTGTGGACTCATGACCTCAGTAATAAAAAAAAAATAAAAATCCTGGCTATGGCCCTGATCATAAGTGCCTCGTCTCCACACTGACCAAAAATAGATCAGAGAATAAAAAAAAGGGCTCTGAATTTGCAGATCATGTGCCAATGATGTAAGCTCCACAGAGCTCCACTTGGATCCATCCATGCAACCCCGTCCTGTCTCACCTTCTTGATGTAGGCTGCGATGTCCTTCTCTATGTTGTACTTCTCCATGGCCTGGGTGGCACAGTCCACCGCGTCCTGCTGCATGTCCTCGGACATGTCCGCGTTCTTGATCACAGCTTTCCTGTCAGTCATGGTTGAGGATGATGATGATGCCTGCTGAGGAAGAAGAGAAAAAGGCGCACGTTCACCCCCCCAGACACTGTACTGCACTGAAAATGAACACCGCACGTGGTTGCTGGGGATGGTTTAGGCCAGCCGGATCATCGCCAAACATCAATCATACGCAGGAGAGTGGTCGCTTTGGCACCGCGTTTTTTCTCCCGTTTGCACTGATTCACAGTCATAACTTAGGCTCCTGTGTTTGTGTCCACATCCCTAACTACACGATGACTTGAGCGTTGCATAGATTGGCTGCGAAACTTGATACAGGTGGAGTTAAATTACTTGGCAAAATCACTTTCGGATAAAAGCAGCTTCTGCATCAGGAGAGCAAAAAGTATCAAAAGATGTCTGTCGTTACTGATCCGTACGGGCGCAATAACGCCCGCTGTCACCCAACCACTACACAAATACTGTCTCACCAGTCCACATGAATTAAAGACATACAGTAAAAGCTCACCATCACTAACTGGAATCAGAAATATGTACAGACATGCAAGTGAAAATCTCTCACATTAGGGAGATCTGCAACTCACCTTTTGTTGAGCCGCCTGAAAAACACTCCTTTCTAAATATATATGTATGTATTTCACCCAGCCAGGGGGGTAAGGTTTAGATGATGCTGCGGCTAATTGCTTTTTAAAGATTTACACAATAAGCATGTAGGTAGGTTGTCTCTCTGCTGTGCTGCTCCGACAGCTCCCCGCCCCTCTGCTGCATGCTGCGCCCTGCCATTGGCTGAGCCGCAGCCTCCCCGTGCGTTGCAAGCGTTTTTCTCCAGCTCCTGTCTGCCGGCATCTTATTTCATCCCACAATGCATCATTCACAGTATCCACCACTGGCTGTGGGCTAAGAGGAAACGAGACCTTGGCCGTAGGTAGGTATCGTTTGGCCGTGTGTGTACAGGGGTTTTCATCAGTCACCGCCACAGCTGAGAGACACTGGAGCTTTGAATACTGAACATATGAAGTGGTGTTTGTGTGTTTTCTGTTACAGCCACAGCTGCAGCCAAGCTTTTATCGGAAAGAGAGACAAGAGGGCCAATTTCCTGCTCCAGTGCTCACTTGGTTTCAGGTTTACAAATAACTGATTGTTAATTTACTCTTAAAAAAGATTATTTGTGGTTATAAATTCAGACACAGCCCTGTATGTTGCTTCTGAGTACATGGAGAGAAAAAGTGCGGTGAAGTGGGTTTATGTGTCAAATAACAACAGAAGCAAAAGTGTCCTTGTTTGAAAATGTTTTATTGAAAATGCTAAGAGAAAAAGAAAGATTAAGCAAAATAAAACATACAAACTACTCCCAAATAAAACCCTCTCCCAACCACCCAAATTTTTAATTCCTTCATACCAGGCATCTACGATTCCATCCTTTGATCCAACTTCCTGGTCCTCAGTTTCGTTTTCTTGTAAAATAAAGCCATTACCACTGAAAGACTTTAAATAGGCATGGGGGGGCCTAATAGAAAAAAAAAAGTTGCTCTGGGACTCCCGTTAATTAGTTCTGAATTCAACTCTCATTTGAATCCTGGAAAACTGATCCCGTTCCGAGCATCCATCCTTGCCTATCCCTTCCCTAATCGATCCACTCATCCAGCTCCAAGGATTGGGATCCACTGAGCCACTCCTCCAATCAAAACCTTGAAATACCAGGAAGAAAATCAGAGGCAGACTGTTAGAATAAAATGTCAAGATTTTTGGGCCTATTTTTTTTTTTCCATTTTGAGCACTCAAGAAAAAAAAAAATGCCACTGAGCACAAAAACTATCACTCCCTGAAGTTAAAACATTTTAACCAATGAGGACATTTAAGTCAAAAGTGGGACGCTTTTGCAACAAAGTAGTGATTCAGTTTTTTTTTTTTTTTACATTTGACAGCAAAAGATGTTACACTTACATCACAACACTTGATCTAGGACTGCTTATTCTGTCACAAGCCAGAGTAGCAAGTTAAAAAATTGTATATATACATAACAAAGTACAGCACATATGGCTTTGTTAAATATGACATGCAGGATATGACAACCTATCAAAATGTTCAATTTATGGAATATGAAGCGTACCATTGCCTCGACCTGATTGCTCCTCAATTAGATGTCCTATCCTGACCATATAAATGAAATGTGCTCCACAATGGTTTTATTCCAAATCACTTTAATCCTTCTCTTCAGATGTCTAAAGGAAGACACAAGGGTAAAATACAGTTAAGCATTGGGCTCCCCGTCCAAACAGCCCACCCCACATATCCAATGAGAAGCTATTTTCTTAAAAAAATAAACAAAAACAAAACTCAATTTTCGATACTTGCAAAAACATTGAGTGCAGGTTATAGCGACTCAACGTTTTCCAAGTTCCAACACAGCACAATTCCTATTGTTGCAAAAAAATTGAGAGGACAGAAAGAAGTGGAGAGAGGGAGAAAACAAAAGGACAAAGCCGCCGGAGAGGGAGGGGAAGAGGGGTGAAAGAGAGGAGGGGGAGAGGAGAGGGAGGTACACCTACATACCAAGATCATCCACAAGGACATCGGGACATGAAATGCAAAAATTAAAAATCAATTGCTGACATCTGGAGGAACTCATAGAAGGTAAAAACAGGAGGGTATACATCAAAAGGGCAAAACATCGGTGGTAGAAAGGTTTAGGAACGGGAGCGAGAGCGGCTGTGACGAGGCGAGTAGCGGGGCGATCCTCTGCCACGGCCACGGGAATTGCTGCGGCTGCGG